GTTCTTAACCTGAAACTGTTCTTAACCTGAAGCACCACTTTAGCTAATGGGGCCTCCCGCTGCCGCCGTGCCGCCACCGTTCTCATCCTGAAGCAAAGTTCTTAACCCGAGGTAATATTTCTGGGTTAGCGGAGTCTGTATCCTGAAGCATATGTAACCTGAGGTACCATTGTATCTGCTGGGGCTCTGCATCCTCTGCTGATATATCACACTGGTTGAGGTGTGGTGAACTACCAACTGACTTCCACAAGTCTCTAATACCAGTCAAACAGCTGTTAAAGGCACAAGGCATTGTTTGCTTTGTTCCTTGGTCTGTACTTCTTGCTGCCAGTGGCTCCTGTTAGAACAGAGCAAATCTCTTCAGTGAGAAGAGGAGGTTAAGGGGTGATATGATAGCCATGTTCAAATATATAAAAGGATGTCATATAGAGGAGGGAGAAAGGTTGTTTTCTGCTGCTCCAGAGAAGCGGACACGGAGCAATGGATCCCAACTACAAGAAAGAAGATTCCAGCTAAACATTAGGAAGAACTTCCTGACAGTAAGAGCTGTCCGACAGTGGAATTTGCTGCCAAGGAGTGTGGTGGAGTCTCCTTCTTTGGAGGTCTTTAAGCAGAGGCTTGACAACCATATGTCAGGAGTGCTCTGATGGTGTTTCCTGCTTGGCAGGGGGTTGGACTCAATGGCCCTTGTGGTCTATTCCAACTCTATGATTCTATGAGAAAGACACGTGAAATGCCTCACACTCCTTCCTTCTGATTGCTTAGCAGCAGTGATTAAGTGACTAGCAGCAGCAGCAACAACTTTGCATCTGCCGAATAAGCCTTAGATCGTTGCCTCCACATTTTGCTTTCTAACTTTCTTATATATGGCCTTTTTTTTTTTTTTACATGAAAGCCGTGAGCCCCCTCCCCCTTCTGTGTGTGAATATGAAGATGAACTTGAAATCATTCAAACTGCTGCCCCAAAATGAACACAATTCACCTTTGGTTTACCCTGCAATTAGGAGAATTGCTCTCAGATGTACTTCAGAGATTTTTTAACTAGTTCACTTCATTCAACTGCAAGTACGTCATTGCTAGCACTGATCAAATCACCCTCCTCCCTAAGTTCTAGGGAGGGGCCAGGGGCCATCTCCCATCTCCTGCCCGTCACCGCTGCCTGGCACCCAGCGATCACTACTGCTGGATGCTAACCACTACTGGGTACTTGCCACCTCCTGTTCCTCGACCCCAGCGGCATCACACTCATGGATGACATGCCCCATCTACTTGCCCCAGGGCTTCCTCAAAGAGGGTGGGCAGGAGTAAGAAAGTAAAGTGGCCCTGAGGTGAGGATGGGCTTAAAATCTAAACAATTAAATTTCTGCAAGAGGTGTCACGCCTATATCAGAACAAGAAATATTGGGTAGAGACCACTTCCCAGTCTTTTTGCTATCTGAGTAGACGTGGTTTCATTAGTAACACGACTCTATTTTTCTCTCCAATATTTTTGAGAGAAGGATAATTATGTTTGTCTAAAAGGGAGCAATTGTGTGTGCATTAGTTTTCAGAAGCTCTGCGCAGGAAGGCAGACTGTACCTGATTACTGTGATTGACATGTTGTTCTGTCTCCCAATGTGTCTGCCATATAAAGCCACGAAAAATTGTATAAAAACACTAAAGCCTTTCAAGGTAACAAAAATGGGATAAACTCGAATGAATGGCAAACCCACAAATCATTTCAATGGTACTGGATTGTACCCATTGTGAGCTACTGCGCAGTTCAAGTATCAAATTGGCAATTTTAGTTTGCAAAATATAAAATAATAATAGGAATAGTAATAATATGAGACAGAAAGCAGCAACAGTCATCTATTATCATGGCAACCAGATTCAATTTATGTGTTTGAATGCCTAGCCTGGACCATCTTAAAGGCTTGGAATTAAAAATCATTTTAAAAAGCATTTTCCATTGTCTGCTTGCTGTTAGTGAAAGACTCTGACACCATTCAGCCAATCTGTATTAACATCTATCACAAGGGTGCCTGTTGCATAAGTACAATACTGAGGCTGCAAACCTAAGCACACTTACTTGAGAGTAATTCCTATTGGAATCAATGGCATATACTTCAGAGCAGACATGCATAGGATTGTACTCTTACTTTAGCTGAATTTAAGCATTTGTCAGAACATATAGTAAAACCAGATATAGGGACACGGATACAGACACAAGCCATGATCTCAACATCTCCAGGAGTAGGGGCTGCCCTTCAAAATGCCAGAAGTTTAGCACTAAGTTTCTAAGAGGGTTTAATTTTAGCTTGTCACTGTTAATTATTCCTGATGTGAAACATATCAGTAAGGTTTCCATAGCTGATACACAAATATAAAAAGTGATTTCCCAACAAAGTATTAATCTAATCAGTATTAGAGCTAAAATTTTACTGACCTCATATTTCTGAAGGAGTCTAGTGCTACTAGGAAAATAATGATAATTTGTTCCTGATATGAAGCAATTTTACTTGCTAGATTCCATTGTTCAAGAATTTTTTCTCTCAAATAAAAACTTTTGCACTCATCTGTACAGTGTTTCCTTTCCCTTTTAGGAAGCATTTACTAAGTGCCAAACTATAGCCAATATACAGTATTTTGGTCTGATGTTGAATGGCTGAACCCGGGCAGCAAGACTAATAGTTTTTGCTGCTATAGTTAGATATATTCTTCCCAATATATAGAACCTGGATTAAGATCAAAATCATACCATAATGAAAGGGTACTGGAAGAAGGAAAGTTCACCAGTGTCAAAGCAATGATTCTTCAACATCAAATTTGTTGGACTGGTCATGTTGTGCGGATGCCTGTTTATCTTCTTCCAAAGCAACTACTCTGTTCCAAACTTAAAAATGGAAAGTGTAATGCTGGTGGTCAACAAAAGAGGTTTAAAGACTCTTTCAAGGCAAATCTTTTAAAAAATGTAGTATAAACACCGACAATTGGGAAACATAGGTCTGTGAGCGCTCCAATTGGAGAACAGCCTTTATCAAAGGGGTCATGGGTTCTGAAGACTCTCAAACTCAGGACAATAAACGCGCTAAGAGAAAGGCACGCTTGGCAAACCCTCACCATGATCAACTCCCACCCGGAAACCTATGTCTCTGATGTGGAAGGACGTGTGGATCCAGAACTGGCCTCCACAGTCACTTACGGACTCACTGTAAAGACTGTGTTCATGGAAGACAATCTTACTCAGCTACAAGTGATCGCAAAAGAAGGAGACTATGCTGACTGGCAATGGCTCTCAAGGATTTCAAAGAGGGGTCTCTCCCAACCCTACCCAGCAAGATCATGGTATCTTTTGCCTTCAGATCATGACCTGGAAGGGGACTAATATTAAAAGTTAGCTTGCGAAACCAATGTAATGTATGGTGTGAATGCGTCCAAAGAGTGTTTTGCAGTATGGTGTGGAAGAAAGGTGGCTTCTGCAGGCCTTGCTGAAGTTGCTGCAACTGTCCTGCCTTGGAGAGTTTGCCTGATAATAATAATAAAAAAATCCTTCCAGTAGCACCTTAGAGACCAACTAAGTTTGTTATTGGTATGAGCTTTGGTGTGCATGCAAACTGCTTCAGATACACACTTCTTCAGATTGGTATCTGAAGAAGTGTGCATGCACACGAAAGCTCATATCAATAACAAACTTAGTTGGTCTCTAAGGTGCTACTGGAAGGATTTTTTTTTTTTTTGTTTTGGTTTGGTTTCGACTACAGCAGACCAACACGGCTACCTACCTGTAACTAGAACTATGGAAGGCACCACATTGAGCCTCATGAAATGGAAGTCCATCAACCTCACCAAGAAACTTGCACAGGTACAAACTGACATCTTCTTTCTGACTAAACGCAAGAACCTGGACATTATACCTAAGGGTCTTAGAATTAAGACCCCTCTACAATCCAATTATCCAACTGAATATGCAAGGAAACTATGCCACACTTTCTCCAAGAAGCTGCTCAAACATCTGATCAGTGTTCTGTACTCTAAAGAGAAGCTAATAAAGGAGGAACTCTCTGTACTGGACAACTCTACAGTGGTACCTCAGGTTAAGTACTTAATTTGTTCTGGAGGTCCGTATTTAACCTGAAACTGTTCTTAGCCTGAAGCACCACTTTAGCTAATGGGGCCTCCTGCTGTTGCCGCGCTGCCGGAGCCCGATTTCTGTTCTCATCCTGAAGCAAAGTTCTTAACCTGAAGCACTATTTCTGGGTTAGCGGAGTCTGTAACCTGAAGCGTATGTAACCTGAGGTACCACTGTATTAGGAATCACCCAGCTTGGCAAGAGTTCCACGAGGAAAAACAAACCATTTACTGGAGTTACTGGTATCTGAAGAAGTGTGCATGCACACAAAAGCTCATACCAATTAACAAACTTAGTTGGTCTCTAAAGTGCTACTGGAAGGAATTTTTGTTGTTGCTGTTGTTGTTTTTTCGACTGCAGCAGACCAACACTGCTACCTACCTGCCTGATAAAAGTTTGCCTGATAAAAAGAATGCCAGCTAGTTTCTCAGATTCCTAAAGAAGCCTTCCCCCAAAACTTCCCAGAGGGGGCTTGTAGACATTCCATGGCAGCCAATCCTAACAGCCAGCTAATTTGCGAAACACCTTGTCTCCCTGCCCACTTTGGACGGCGAGAAGCAGCCCTCTCCCACCTTTGTCAAGGACTTCTTGCCCCTAGCTGGGTCATTGCTGCTCCCAGCTTCTGATTCGCAGAAGAAAGCTTTCTATAAAAGAACGTGGTGTCAATGTTAAAATGCTATGTTGACAGATTCCTTAGTATGGTTGTTTTTTCTTGTTATTCCTTCCCACAAAAGAGGGTGATTTTTCTGGCAGCGAATACGCAAGCGAAGAGGGAGAGAACGGAATGGAAGTTGCCCATACTGCCATGGTTGCCAAGAAGAATAGGAAGCCACTGCATTCAGTGGGCGGGAGCCCTGATGTAGCAGCACAATGAATGAGACATTGGGTTTCTAGCCGAGGAGGCAGCGTGTAAGAGAAGCATCGCTCCAAGGATGTCTCTCTGCACCTACATAGGGAAAGGAAAGACCGGGACAATTGATGTAATAAAAGTCTTCGGCTTCAGGTACGTATGGTGCCCTTGTACTTCTTCCTCTATATTTTGCTATATTTTGAAACGGCCATGTGTTTTTCTTTCAAAAGCAACCATGGTATAAGGAATTGCTGATAGCCAAATACAGTGGTACCTCGGGTTAAGTACTTAATTCGTTCCGGAGGTCCGTACTTAACCTGAAATTGTTCTTAACCTGAAGCACCACTTTAGCTAATGGGGCCTCCTGCTGCTGCTGCACCGCCGGAGCACGATTTCTGTTCTCATCCTGAAGCAAAGTTCTTAACCTGAAGCACTATTTCTGGGTTAGCAGAGTCTGTAACCTGAAGCATATGTAACCTGAAGCGTATGTAACCCGAGGTACCACTGTAGATAGATATATTGTATTGTGCTTGCAGTGGTTAAGCTTATGTCAGGCATGTCCAAAGTCTCTTTCGGGGCCCCAATCTGGACCGCAGGACGGTTTAATCCGGCCCCCATAGCAGTTTGGACACCCCTGGGCCTTAAGGCATTGACTGTGAGGAGCTGCCGTGGTGGCACAGAATGTTCATAAACATTCAGTAGCTCAGGGAACAAAGCTGTCGGAATGTTTGCAGTCCAGCTTCTGTGAGAAGAGGGGAAACTATCAATATGGAGGGGATTAAATTCTACACAAGTCCTAGAAGCGACAGGAGTAGTTTGGGGCAGGCTGAGGACTGGCAAGAAGACCTAGAAAATGGAGATTCTACGGGGAATGAGGATTGAAAGTAGAATGCGGAATGGGAAAGTGATAAAAGGACCTGAGGTAAAGGCAGATGAGGGAAGGTTGAGGGAAAGGGCAGAGGAGCCAGGGAAATAAAGCAAGAATGAACTGTGAAAAAAACTCATAGTCCTTAAGGTCAGGAGGGGGCTCTATGCTGCCAAATGGCTAAGGAAGTGGGACAAATAGGCAATGAGTTATAGGAGCACAGCCGTACAGAGGTACCACGGGGGTGATTCTGTAGGGCCTAAGGACAGGAAGAGCTGTGTATTATTGGTAGGAGGGGAGTGAGTTCTGGAGGGTTGGGGCATGTGAGAAAAGGTTGAGCCTAGAATCTGGATGCTGACAGAGATGGAGAGGGATTGGCACTGTTATCCCTTAAAGGTTGCACAGGAGAAGAAGTCTACTGTTGTGGCTTCTGCTGCTACTGAGGGTTTATGAGCTGCCAAGCCTAATAGGCTCGCTATAAACAAAAAGAAGTGGTGAAACATAGCAAAGAAGTGCCCACATCACAATGCCTAGCTATTGTGGGAAGGCTACAAATGCCTTCCTTTTCTCATATAATTGTACAGTTGGAGTGACCCCAAAGATCATCTCACCGAAACCTGTGCGATGCAGGAATCTCAGCCAAAGCATCCAAGACTGTTGGCCATCCAAACCTCCACTTAAAAACATCCAATGAAGGAGAGTCTGCAACCTCCCGAAGGAGACTGTTCCACTGTTGAACAGTTTAAGTCCTTATAGTCTCCTGTGTACCAGGTATTTTTGTATTGATAAAAGGCCCTCCATTTTTCTTATTGCCTTTCAGCTGAAGGCATCTCTCTTCCTACTCATTTCAGTGGGACTGGCATAGGAGAGGTTTCTGAGGCAGGGGGTAGCAAAAATTTCAAGGCGATATTTCGCTTAAATCACAAACAATATGTCACATATTATGACTGCATGCACAGGCATTTCTTTTTACTGAGGATGCATGGTGTGCTCAGAGAGAAAGAATCGGCCGTGCTATGTGACTGGGAAATTCAGAAGTTGCGTAGAAATTTGATTTTGCATTTTTACAATGTGCATTTAAGGCAGAAGGCATCCAAGTATCTCGCTGCATTTCAATGACGGCAGCAATATCTCCATCCATCATGTTGAAGAGATTTTATTTTTTGCAATCATTACCAGACATCGATAGAAGCAGTGCCTAAGTATTCAAGCAGCCAGATATTGTTTTCTGAATTTCTTCCTAGGCCAGAGAAAGAGACCCTACTTAAAGTGGCCTTCTCACGTCTATCCTGAGTTTGAATGTAAAAACGCCATCATTTGTAACATCAAAAATTCAGTTTCACATAAAGTAACCAATGCATCAAGGTGAGTAATGCAATGAGTTTGACGTCTGCGCAGCGCTCTCTGTCTTACAGGATTACGGTTGCTTATGTTGGGCAGAAAGAAATGGGAAACCTTTTAGCCATAGATAACAAAGTCGTGAAGCCAATTGTTTGTATCTGTCTCTTCTCAATACCGGACAAAGTGAAATTGTTCCAGCAGGCCTCCTCCAACGTTAGAAAAGCGAACTGCTCAAGTGGCTGTCCTGGGAGAAAAAAGTTTTTTAGGAGCAACAGTTTGGAAAGGCACCATGGCATACTTTTTCAGTAGAGATCAGGGGGAGCAAATGGATGTTGAAGATACAGGCAACACACAAGGAATCTTTGCAGGCTGGGGTGCTTTTGGCCCAAAAGATGATCACCATTCACTGTACAGTTGTACCTCGGAAGTCAAACAGAATCTGTTCCGGAAGTCCGACTTCCAAAACGTACAGAAACAAGGTGCGGCTTTCTGATTGGCTGCAGGAAGCTCCTGCAGCCAATCGGAAGCCCCGGCAGCCGCGCCAGACGTTTGGTTCCAAAGAACATTTGCAAACCAGAACACTCACTTCCGGGTTTGCAGCGTTTGGAGCCAAAATGTTCAACTGGCAAGGCGTTCAGCTTCCGAGGTACAACTGTACACAAATATTGCTAATGTAATCAGATACGAAATAGCACAAACATAATAGCATAAGCCTTTGGATCAAATTGTATCCATGTTGCCTAATGATAGAAGGCAGATGCTTCTAAATTTTACTCTTTGACATTTTCCTGTAAAATGGCATTGCTAATAATGATCACACATTATCTTCACAACTCCAGCATGCGATATTTCCTCTCCCAGCCCACAAGTTACATTACAGTTCTCATGCCAGGATTCATACTGGTTCTGTACCAAACTCAACTGTTGAGATAAAGAACATCAAGATTTTATTGTGAGGACTTCTGCTTGACGCAGACAACAGATTAGAAGGCCATTCTCTACTGCTACAACCGACTTCGGGTTACGCCTGCAATTGTCTGAACTATTGATCCAATTTAAAGCATTGGATCATGAATGGCCCTCACAGGGACTGGTTCTTTTGCTGGGCCGTGAAACGAAAGTCCTTGAAATAATGAGAGCTTTTGTCAAGCTAACGGAAGAAACCATGTTATGCTCAATTGGAACCTCTCCTGGACGAGTTCTTTTGAAAGGGGTGCAACTCAACCATTTTCAGGGTCCAGAGTTTTTCTTGATCCAGAGTCAGCCTTTAGGTTCATGTTAATATTTTGCCATGAGAATTGCGGGTCAAATATTAATATTATCAAGTTACAGGGAACCATGCAGAGGGCCTTCTCGTAGTGGCACCTGCCCTGTGGAACGCCCTCCCACCAGATGTCAAAGAGAAAAATAACTACCAAACTTTTAAAGGTAAAGGTAAAGGTACCCCTGCCCGTACGGGCCAGTCTTGACAGACTCTAGGGTTGTGCACTCATCTCACTCTATAGGCCGGGGGCCAGCGCTGTCCGGAGACACTTCCGGGTCACGTGGCCAGCGTGACGAAGCTGCTCTGGCGAGCCAGCACAGCACACGGAACGCCGTTTACCTTCCCGCTAGTAAGCGGTCCCTATTTATCTACTTGCACCCGGGGGTGCTTTCGAACTGCTAGGTTGGCAGGCGCTGGGACCGAGCGACGGGAGCACACCCCGCTGCGGGGATTTGAACCGCCGACCTTTCAATCGGCAAGTCCTAGGCGCTGAGGCTTTTACCCACAGCGCCACCCGCGTCCCTACCAAACTTTTAGAAGACATCTAAAGGCAGCCCTGTTTAGGGAAGCTTTTAATGTTTAATAGATTATTGTATTTTAATATTTCTGTTGGAAGCCGCCCAGAGTGGCTGGGGAAACCCAGCCAGATGGGCAGGGTATAAATAATAAATTTTATTATTAACTAGAGTCATACCTTGGATCTCAAACACCATGGCTCTCGAACAAATCGGCTCCCAAACGATCAAAACCTGGAAATGAGTGTTCCGGTTTTTGAACAATTTTGGGAAGCTGAACGTCTGGCGCGACTTCTGCGGCTTCTGATTGGCTGCAGGACACTCCTGCAGCCAATCGAAAGCTGCACCTTGGTTTTCAAACAGTGCGATCGACTCCCGGAACGCATTCTGTTCGAGAACCAAGGTATGACTGTATTTGAAATAGGGGTGAACCAAGATCACTGGTTGTTCAAAACTGGATGGGCATTTCAGCAGGCAGAAGCAATTACTGAGAGCACCTTAGTAATGGGGGCTCCTGCTGCTGCTGATGCCGCCGGAGCACGAAAATTTCTGTTTCATCTGATAGCAGAAGTTCTTAATCTGACGCTTGATTTCTGGTCGTTAGCGGAGTCATGCAACCTGAAGCGTCGTGGCCCTTACGCTGAGAGATTTGTCAATGCTATAATTGTTGTTTGCTGAAGTGGAATACAGCAGGATGAACGAGTTTGAAACTCAGCTGGGTGAATTTAAATGAGAGTATAGGATATTTGGTTCTGATCTTTATGTTTTGCCGTATGTGGGAAGTTATGAGACACGGTGTTAAGTTTACAGGCATGTTGATGCGCTTAAGAGAAAACATTGATGAAAATGATACAGGTGGAGCTGACCCAGTCAGCTGGCAAAAATCTATCTTTGCCCGATAACAAATGTTTGGGAGTTTTGTATAGAGACTGAGGTCCTTCTACCATCTTTTGGGACATGCCCGAGTATTATAGGCGAACTTTGGGAAGATGTCTTATGATGAAATTCAAAATTGTACCAAATTGTTGTACTCTCTGAAAAACCAGAGGCCGTTTCTGCTTGGGCATATGTGTCGGGCCATTGTGGTGCAAAGAAGGATTAGGGAAAACTTTCTTTTGTACGCGTACTACGTCGCAGATTCATTGCAAGTTGATGGAGACCAAGATTG